TAGTTCTTGTTCCTAAGAAATTTTACATACTTGTGATAAAAATGGACAGTTGGACAGAGGTACTATTAGTCAAAAAAAAGAGAGAAAGAAATTAGAAAATTTAGTGGATTCAAGAACGGTTCTAGGAGGCCACTTGACATTTACTGGTAAATTATTTTGTTTACAAAGAAGAAATAGAGAGTTCTAGGTGGAGGGAAACACCAACAATTCTATTCTACCAGGAGCCTCATGTATAAGAATGAACAGACAGAAACTAAGTAATTACTGAACATCTGATAGAAAAAAATTTTGACGGAAAAGCACTAAATGATGCAGCATGCAACTGAACACATGAAGAAACAGTTAAATAAAGGTCAAACTTTTTAAAAGGAGAAACTGAAAGAAATCTAGTTATTATCTTTAAATTTACAACAACATCTTGCATAAATAAAATCAAAACTGGAAAATTAAAAAGTGGAATAAATAGTATGAGTTTAAATAATTGTAGAAAAGCCCCCAAGTTAGACCTCCATATGAAAAGATAGGAGACAGCACAAAGAAGATTGCTGGAACATTAAGAAAAAGGGTAGAAATTTAGAAAAGAAAAAAAAATTCAGAAAATCTATTATTCATTTTATAGCTATTTCAGAAAGAAATCAATAAGAAAATAGAGAAGACAAATAGGAAACAGAAAATAAATTTCCAAAGCTGAAAAAAGAGTTGAGCCTTCAGTGAATTATTTTTTCCACACCCAACAGCACTAAAATAGAAAAAGATAGTCACAAACATATGTTGGTAAAATTTCTGAGATTCTAGGAGATGCATATCTGTGTGGAGAAAATCATCCTGGTAATGATTTCTCAGATTCAATGTTGAATGTTAGAAAACAATTCAGGTCAATGTTATAAAATAGTACAAATCGAATGATCTAACAACAATATTTTGAGTTTTTAATTCCACGTCCAAATTATTGCTTCAACATGTTAATAAAATAAATATGTTTCCATCAAGCAGGAGTTAGAAAATATGCCATGCATTCAATATTTTCTGGAAAAATTACTACTTTAAAATATATTCCAGGAAAACTAAATATGAAACTAGAAATCACAATATTCAAGAATCAGAAGTAAGCAAAGAAACCGAAATGCAATACAAATAATGGTTATTAAACAGCATCAAAGCTTGACAAAAATATTAAGAATTAATGCCTTGATAAAAGACACATAGAATGAACTAAATGCTAATTTTTAATGCCAATGACATCCTCATTTTAAAATCCAAATTACTTTCATTAAACCTGCTTGTAGATGAGTGAAGGATATCTAAACAAAATTTCAGAATTAATAAGAAACAAGTCTTCCTTTGTATGATTGCTTTTAAAATAGTTATGTTTCAAATAAAGTTCAAAGATAAATGGGAAAGATAAGCAGGAAATATTTGCAATCTGTATAACAGACACAATTTGGAGGTCCCTCAGACTTCTAAAGAATTAAAAAGTGAAAAGAAAGGAAAAACAAGCAGAGGGAAATCACCAGAGATAGTGAGCTACTGTGAATGGCACATGAGACAGCAAAGAGATGGGGGAAGACAAGCCCTGAATGCAGGTGGCCCCATCAACAGGTTAAGGGCCGGGATGGAACCAGATCCCTGGAGGTGGAAGCTTACTAGCACAGGCTCTGTGGCTCTTCCTTGCCCTCTGTGTTTCCTGGCTGCCATGAAGTAAGCTGCTTTCTTTTACCATATAATTCCACTAGGGGGGGCTGGGGATTTAGCTCAGCGGCAAAAGCGCCTGCCTGACAAGCGGAAGGTTGTGAGTTCGGTTCCCGGTACCGGAGAAAAACCAAAAAAAAAAAAAAAAAAAAAAAAAAAAAAAAACAATAATTCCACTAGGAGGATTCTGCCTTTGTACGAGCCTAAAAGGAGTAAAACCAGCTGACCGTGAACTGAGACCTCGGCAGCCATGAGCCAAATTACATCATTCTTCCTCTACATTAGTTCTCTCGGGTTTTTTGTCACAATGACAAACAGCTGAGTAATTCAGGCAAAGTTCATAAAATACAAACAATAATATCTAAACTTATAATATTCATGAATATAGGACAAGATAATAAAATTAAAATAAAGACAACAAAGCAACAGCTTCAGTGTTATACAAAAAAGTAGTAACCCCAACCATCTAAGAGTAGTAGGAAGTGAACATAGTTTGCTCCCAAGCTCAACCTTTCTTTTCACTTGGGCAACTTGAGAGAAGCAAGACAGAAGTATTAATAGGATAACTGTGAAGTATTAATAAGACAGCAGTGTGTTTGTGTGAGATTAGAGTTTTTCAACATTCTAACTGCTGACATTTGGTGCTGGGTAATTTTTTGTTGTTGGGTGTCTTCTGGGCCTTGTAGAATGCTTAGCAGTAGCCATGGCCTCTACCTTTAGGTAGCAGTTCACACCTAGCCCCAGGAGTTATAACTCCAAGAACGTTTGCAGATATTGGCAAATTGGCCTGGAGGGACAACCAGTGTGGAGAGAATGTATGAACAGCAGTTGCTCTCTGCAAGCCTGATCATTAAAATAAAAATAAAAGTTACCAATTTCAAAGCCTCCATCAATTAAACCAGCAACAGAAGAGGATATGTCAAATCTCCTTTCTATTTGAGTGATGGATGTTTTCATAATGACTCCACCTAATGTCTTGCAAATGTAGGTAAATGACAGAGCTGCAAAGAATATCTAAGAAAAAATAGAAGGAAAGGGGGGAAATGTTAATCAGAAGACTGGACTATGGATATATACACATTTTAGAAATTTTCTTTTTTACTTCAAAACATTATTTTTAACATAAAACCATACCCATCTTTCAATTTTTAATGTTACCATTGTTATACAGATAAGGTTTCAATTTATCTTTTCTTCTTTTTTATAAAATACTAATAAAACAAAATTTCATTAAAAAAATACGAGGATAACAATGCATTATGGATTGTTGTCTTGAATGTAACAAAATCAGCAAAAAGGATTCTGTCTTACAAAGAAGAAGCAAACAGATGTTAGTACAATATTTTTTTCAGTAAACTAAGAAAAACTAGTAGTATAAATCATGACTTAGGATATATATAAAAGTATTTTCAAAACAAAGGAATAGGTAATTTGGAGAATCATCTGAACCTCTCCCACTTCCAATTTATCTATCTTCATTTTGTTCTTGAATATATATACTTTGACTTTCTCATATAAGGAAGACTGAGATATTTTAGCTTGTGTGACCTAATTCATTAACATTAAGTTCTCAGGTTTCATCCAATTACTGACAAATTCCTCAAGTTTTTCTTTTTTATGGCAGAGTAGTACTTCACCATGTGCAAATCCATTTTCCTTACCCATTCATCTGTTGATAGACATATACATTCTTTCCAAAATTTACCTATTATACAATTTTCTGCCATAAATATGGGTATCATGTATCTCTCTAATATGATAATTGTACCTCTTTTGGGAAGATACCTAGAAGGGGGATAGCTGGGTAAAATGGAATTTCTATTTTCAGTTTTTTGAGGAATCTTCTGTCTGATTTTTGCAGACATCAGATTACAATATTAATGCAGTTAAGGTTGTTGCTTTTAATTAGTGTCATTGACTGATTTATAAGAAGCAAGACAATGTTCTTTGTTGGCCAGAATGGTCAGCTACTTATTTCCAGGTGGATACCATAGCCCAACTGAAGTCTATAGCAGGACATTCCCAAAGGCAGCTCTTCCAGAAAGCCAGCTGAATAAATGGAGGTTTGAAGTGACCAAGGGAAATTCTATGAACAATACACCTGACTGACAATCAATCTCTTGTGAAGTGAGTGGTTATACTTAGTGTAGTGAGTGGTATCTTAATTTTCACTTTAACAAAATGTATTGGTCGAACCTTTCTCTTTAGCCCATCCATCAGCAAATTCCTTTTACTGTTTTATTAAAACAAGACTATGATAGAACGCATATGTCTTGGTTACTTTTCTCTCATTGCTGAGACAAGATACCCAACGCCCAAAATGAAGGAAGGAAAGGTTTATTTAGCTCACAGTTTTTGGAGGTTTCAGTCCATACTTGGCTGGCTCCGAGGCAGAAGGTAGCAAAGCAACAAGAGCCAAGGGGGGAATGGCAGCCAAACGGCAAAGCAGCCAGAACAAACGGGAGGAATGGCAGCAGGCAGCTTTTTTTCCTGCCTTACTTTGTAAACAGGCTACCCCCACCTAAGGGGCATGTAGCTCCCACATAATCTCCATGCCCTCCTCTTCCACAGGCTCAGGATGTATACAAAGTAAGCACCCTGGCTTCCTGCTGAGTCACTTAGCCAAACCTCTAGACTCCCCAAGTTGACACAATGTTTCAACCATAACAGCATACTTGTGTGTCTCCAGTGCCATATGTTGCAGCCTTAATCCCCTGCATGACAGTACCTAGAGCTACAGCTTTCCAGAATTTACTAGATAATAATGGTTGAACCTCTATGGCAGGGTTAGTTCCTCCATAGTAAGAAATGTGAGGACATAGCAGAGAGCCACCTGCACTTTGGGAAAAAGGCTCTTACTAGAACTCAACAATGTTGTTACCTTGATCACAGACTTCTGGGCTTCAGAAATGTGTGAAATATATTTCAGTTGTTAGCTCACCCACTCCATGGGATTCTGTTGTCTGAACATTCTCATTACCTCCTGTGCTACCAGGAGTCTCCACGGTCATGTCTACCCTCAATTACTATGATAGCTCCTGATACACTATTGCCTTTATGCTCCTGTCCACCTAAGTTGTTCCTAACTTGGTAGCTAAAGAAATCCTTTGAAAAGAAAAATTAAGTCTTGCTTCCCCTCCATACCATTTAATCTAATCCATACTATCTAGTCTTTTCATTGACCTTAAAAGGCTTAAGCGATCCATCTTGTCTCCTAAGTCTCTTCCTCAGCAAGGAAAGCTCTTCTTTGTATCAACAACTGCTCATTGAATCCCTTTATCCCTGATGTTTTTGCTCAAAGTTTTACTTTCACAATAAGCTGTTCTGGTCCAATCTATTTTAAATTGCACCACTTTTCACTCACACTACTCTTTATTTTTTTATGTATCTATCATGTATTGCCTGCACTAGAATGTAAACTTTACCTGGGCAGGGGTTGTTTTTACTGCAATGCTTAGGACAATTCCTGGTGCAAAGAACTGGAACCTACGGTGTGTCTTATACTGTTCAATCCTTGGAAGTGATGGATAAAGACCCAGCAGAACTATTCCACACCTGGCAAGATGTGTTTCTTCATATAAATAGCTGTCAATTTATGTTTGTTATCAATGAAGAAGAAACATTTGAGAAGTGCTGTCAATTAAACTTATTAGAGATAACTAAGAGTTCTCATATGAAATACAAGAAATCACCTAACAATGAAATGAAAAAAGTGAAAAGATGTCAAAAATACTTTTCCTAAAGTTGCTGGTGGGAAGAAAAACACTCCTAAGAGAAAGATATTAACTGAAATAAGGAAGTTGGGAAAAAAATTACAAAATTGTTCTTTAAGGAGAATCATTTCAGACATCTTGTGGAAATATATATAATCTTTATAACATAGAATAGTGAATGAAAATTGTTTAGGGCCTAATCATTTCAAAAAAATAACTGTACTAGTCACAGAAATTAAAAACAAAAACAAAAATTAAAAACATGGTGGGAGAGGGAATGACATCAGGAAGATGGCAGGAGAAGAAGCCTTGCCGAGGATATAGCTCAGTGGCACAAGTTCCTGCCTAGCAAGCGCAAGGTCCTGAGTTCGATTCCTGGTACCAAAGGGGGAAAAAAAAGTGAAACAGAAAAGAAAGCCTTGGGTATTATTTCCCTACAAAACATAGAGTTAGAAAGTGGAGTAAATTCCCTGTGAGAACATCAGAAGCAAATTGGTACAGGCTTCATGCACCTCAGGTTGGTACAAACACAGACACATGGAAACCTTGAAGGAAATTTCATGGTCCTTTCCACTCTCTCACCAGAACACCTCTCACGTCCTTCACCTCTCACAGTGCAGTTGTGAGGAAGTACACAAATCCCTTATATCTAATGTTCACTGCCCAAGAGCCAGTTTCTGTCTTGCTTGTATCTATACACTTAGAAGAACAAGTGCCACCTTGGAGTAAGAATGAGGTCTCAGAGCAATAACTAAAAATGTGCATCATTTTGCAGTACCAAAGAAAGACACCAGGTAGAGCTCTGGAAACATAATGTGCTATGCTACTGAGGGTCAGGCTACTGCACAGATACCAGGGACGGGAGCTACCTAGAGTAAGCAAAATTTTCAAATGAAAGATTTTACACAAGCCCCAAAAGGGCAGAAAAGAATGGGTACCCAAAAGTCTTTAGAGGACTCTAGAGTTTCTTGTGAGACTATTGTGGTATAAATGAAGAATGTTCTCCATACATTTCTCTGAATTTCAAAGTATGGAAGACTAGCCTGATGCTTGAAAACTGAAATCCCCCCACCAACTACATACATATATAGAGAAAAAATTCTGCGAACACTGGACCAAAAGAAACAAAAATATAAGAATCTCCAGCAAAGGAATTAAAATTTTCACACACCTATGTGTTGCCTCAGGCTGGGTTGAACTGCAGACATCTTCAGGAAGCCCAGTGAGTCTGGGCTCTGCCTCCCTGATGAGGGTGCAAGGCAGGTAAAGCCTCAGGCACCCTCTGGGGCCACGGTGGTTGCGCACCACCCATAGTGTGTGGGCCTGGGCTGGGCTGCCCACGACTCACCAGCACAGGAGCTACGCTGAGCACTGGGGTTCTTCAGACTCTCCCCCTGCCACTCACACACAATCAGGACAGTAAGACTGCACTACAGGGAGTGTCTGGTTGTTCAAAACTGACAAAACAAAGGAGTAAAATGCAATCCCAGACCTCCACACCACCCAAAACAGGTCCAGGAGGCATCAACACAGAAGAGCCTGGAAGTGATACACCTAAAATTTCTGAAATGATAGCAACTCAAGTAAAGGAACAACTCCATCAGACCATAGAAGACATCAGATCAGAAATAATGCCTCAGGTGAGAAAAGAAATGATAACAATAATGAAAGAAATGTTCGGCATATCCAAAGATGACATAGACAAGAGAATAGAAGAGCATAGACACCTCAATGAAGCCTTCAGGGAACAATATGGAAAAGAACTACAAGGTATGAAACAGATGCAAACAGATATCCAGGAACTTAAAAATTCCACTGAAAGCTTGCAAAACTGCCTGAAAGAAGCTGAAGATAGGCTTTCAGACCTTGAAGGCAGCATTGCCACCAATGAATGTGAAAGGAAGGATCTCTTGAAAACAACACAGAACCAGGAAATAACAATTCAACAACTGCAAGATGAAGCAGAGAAACAATGTCAGATTAATAGGTACTAATGAAACAGCAGGTGTCAACACAAATGACATAAAAAGGCTATTAGCAGAAATAATAGAAAATTTCCCAGACATGGTAAATGAGTTGGACATCCAGATAAATGAAGCATATAAAACTCCAGTTAATCATAACCAAAATAA